AAGGCATGTGCAACTTTGGCTCATGCCCCGAGAAAAGGAGCATGGGCCAGCAGGCTTCACGGTGGTTGAGGCACTAAACTTCCAAATGACCAACCAAGGTTCGAGTCCTGACCCACTGGCTTGAAAATCACATCAGACACATATACATGCATGCCTGAAATCCCAAGAACATAGAGGAGAAGGGACTGTGGCACAGTCAACTCATCTTTAGGGTGATTTCTCACTTTAACTCTGTCTTTGTTCTGTCTCTTTCTTTGTCTCTCTCACTCTGTATCTCTCTCTGTCTCTCTCTGTCTCTGTCTCTCTCTCTCTCTCTCTCTCTCTCTCTCTCTCTCTCTGATGAGCATACATGACCTATAGCAATAACTAAACAAAGAGGAACAAAAACGAGAAGACCAGCCCCATAGACAAGTGGTTAAGATAGCTGGATACCACATGAGTGACTGCAGTTCAACTTCCAGCCTTGGCGGCTTGAAAAACACACCAGACATGTGTGTAGGCATGTCCAAAATACAACAGGATGGAGAAATGGAAGAGAAAGCTCTTTTGTCTCTCTCCCTCTCTCTTGTGAGCATATGCACCTTTTGGCCACTAAAATCAAAAGAAGAGGGGAGATATGGACAAGGTGAAAGTAAAAGGGGGATCCAGAAGTTGGATAGAGTAAGAATTTCACAACCAAATCAAAACAGATTTCATCACCAAGACACACATGGAGATGATTACTTTTGCAGCTGATGGTGCCATATTTCTGGAAGACTTCTGTATCAGGGCCAAAGCCTTCTATGCAGCTACAATTGTAGGAGCCCATGGTATTGGTGCAGACAGAACGAGGACCACACCGAGCTGGATCTTGCAAGCACTCGTCAATATCTGCAAAAAACGAGATTGTCAAAAAGCCCAGAGGAACAAAGAGAATCATTTTCCCAGAGCTCTTTAGAAACTCAGTAAACAGATAAGAGATTGCATGTCTAAGTTTAGAAACATTTGACCCAATGGGATGTCCACCAAAGACCCGTGCCTGAAAGCTGAGTGTTACCTGTACAGGCGAAATGCCCTGGCTTTCCCGGGTTCCAGTTATTTCCAGTGGGAGAAGAGAATCCAGGAAAACAGCTGCACTGGTACCTCCCCCTCATGGTCGTGCACTCTGAGTTAGGACCACAGGGCGAGGGACTTTCAGAACATTCATCAATATCTGGACCAAGAAAGAGTTGGAGTCACCAATTTGTCCCATTGTCGGGAACAGATTCCATTTTCCAAAGATGGATGAAACACTATCACCCATCCCATAAGTTCTTCATCCAATGTGACTTCGTCACTTCTCCCTTAAAGCAGGGGGCTCTGTGCTCCCTCCCCTGGAATCTGAGCATGCTCTGGCCACAGTGGAAGTGATGCTAGGTCATAAAGGTCATAGACTTCCACCTGGTTCTTTGGAGATGCTCATTCTTGGAAGCCAGCCACCATATTGTGAGGAAGCCCAACTATCCATGAACTTCTCAGTGACCAAGGATTTTTTTAAGAAATACAGAGAGAAAAAGGAAAGAAGGAAGGAAGGAAAGAAGAATGAAGAGAAGAGAAATATAAGAAAAGAGAAAAAGAGAAGAGAAAAGGAAGAGAATGGAAAGGAAGGAGAGGAGAGGAGAGTGTATGGGAGGGGAGAGAAGGGAAATAAAGGGAAATAAAAGAGAATGGAGGCAAGGAAAGAGGAAGGAGGTAAGCAGAGGAGAGTGGAAGGAAGGAGAGAGGAGGAAAGGGAAGAGGGAAGAACTGTCATGATGGAAAAAAGGCAAGTACCTACATCCACTCCCAATCAGCTTCCTACCAAACATTGACGGGTTTAGAAAGGCCGTGAGCTCACCTTCACATACCACTCCTGGACCCTTGAAGTGATTTTGTCCATTGCTGGACTGGTAGCCTTGTCTGCAAGTGCAATAGTAACTGTCCTTGGTGTTGACGCAGCCTGCGTGGGTCGGGCACGTGGTGAGGTCTTCACACTCATTCACTTCTAGGTGACATAGAATGCAGGTTTGGGTAAGATTAGATCACCAGACTGGGGCTGCTGGGGAACCCAAAGGAAGGGTGGAGGTGACATTGTGAGCTGAATTGTGTCACCTCTAAAGACATCTTGAGGTCCTAAACCTTGGCACCTCTGAACGTAGTCTTATTTGAAAATGGAGTCTTTGTAGAGGTCATTAAGATGTAAGTTAAGATGAATTAGTTCTGGTGTTGTGTGGGCCCTTAATCTGTTTTTAGAAGAAGAGAAGATACAGCAATAGAGGAACCGAGAATGCTTTGTGATGGCAGAAGTAGAAAATGAAGTTATGGGTACACGTCAAATAATGTCAAGGATTTGTGCCAATATAATACAGAAAAGGAGCGTGAGACAGATTATATTCTAGAACCTTCAAAGAGCAAATGGCCTTCATGACACCTGGATTTCCAGCTGCCAGAACTGTGAGAGAATACATTTCTGTTGTTTTTGTTTTTGCTTTGTTTTGTAGTTTTTGCTGTAGGGCATGTGCACTCGCCAGTGAGAGAGAGAGGGAAAGTGAGATATCGCCACCCCAGAAGGACTGCCATGCTGCAATCCTTTCTCCTCCACTCTTCTCATGGGATTTTGGATTTGCATGTACACCTACCTGGCATGATTCTCAACCCACCGGGTCCAAAACTCAAATGGTGGAGTAGGCCATGAGGGACCCAACACCTTAACCTTCACGCCACCTGCTGACCCTACATTTCTGTTACTTTAAGTGACTCGGGCTGTGTAGATTTGTTACGACAACCCTAGGAAACCCACATAGTCACCAATCGAGCTTAATCAGATACCTTGAAGATGCAGACCCTTGCTAGTCAAAGAATGACCCATGTACCATTAGCCTCTACCACACCAAATCCCAAGAGGTCTTGAAAAACCAGATCCTGATTTAGCCAGTCTGAGGACAGAGACCTGAAAGTCTGCATCTCTAACAAACCCTGAAAAATTACGATGCTGCTGGACTGAGGACTACACCATGAACGGAGGAGTGTGAGTCTTCAGAGCAAGACAGATCTAACTTCAAGTTCTACCAGTAAATCTCAAAGCAAAGAATGTTGGTTGTTCTCCAGACACATATCCCCCTCTTCCTTCTAATGATATGGACATCCAGGTACAAGTTGCATTCCAAGATTCTCTGGCAGCTGGTTGTAGTCATGAGACTGAATTATGACCAATAGAATGAGAGGAAGAGGTGTGGGAGGGGGGCAGCAGGTGGTGTAGTGGTTAAAACATTGAACTTTCATGTGGCCAGCTGGGGTTTGAGGCCCAGACCTGGTGACTTGAAACTCACACTGGGTTCATATGCATGTGTGCTCAAAATCCCAAGATGAGAATGGAGGAGAAGGGTTTGCAACATAGCCATCCATTTGGGAGGTGATTTCTTGCTTTCTCTCTGTCTCTGTCTCTCCAGAACACACATGTGCTTTATAGCAAAAATCTTTAAAAAAAAAAAAAAAGGCATGTGCCCCTCCAATTCATGCCCTGAAAAAAGGAGAAGTATGTTCTCTACTTCCTTCCCCTTTCAGCTGGACTAAAAGACGGACATACTGGAATGATCTGTCCTCTACCATAGGCTCAAACCTAGGGATAAGAAGGCCACAGACGGAGGCACCTGGGAGCTGGTAAAAGACTCATTTGATACTATCACTCCCTTGGTGGACAGAATTGTGCTCCCACCCCCAAATTTGACCATGTTTTAGTCCCTAAAACTTGTGACTATGCTATGGTACATGGAGTGGAGCTGGTGAGGCGAGCATAGGAGGAGGTGAGAACAGGAAGGTGCACAATCAGCTCATACAGGCTCTGCTAGAGCATTGCAAGACTTCTGCTTTTTCTTAGAGAGATATGGGAGCCATGGGAGGGTTTTGAGCAGAGGAGGGATCCAGCACAACTCAGAATTTAACCTTTGATCCTTCTGGCCACTGAGCGAAAGATGAACTGCAGAAGGACAGGTGACCAGAAAGAAGGTGGCTATATTTGTCCAGGTAGAGAGGGATGGTGACCACAGCTCAGGGAAGACTGTGAGATACTGGGTTTATTTTGAAAGTGATGTTAATGAGGTTTACCAGTTGACCAGATGTTGAGAGGGAAAGAAAGAGGAGCCAATAATAATGCCAACATTGATTGGTGGGATGAGAAAGCTATCCAGTACCATCAAAACCCTAAGGAAGAGGAGCCAGCAGGTGTCATGGAGGTTAAGGTAGCTGGACTCCCACATGGCCGCCTACACAGTTCAAGTCCTTGACCTAGTGGCTTGAACATCATACCAGGCATGTATGCATGTATGCCCAAAATCCTAAGAGGAGAATGGAGAAGAAATTTTGGCATGATCATCCCTCCTGGAGGTACATTCCCTCTCTCTGTATGACTCTATCCAGTGAGCACACATGCCCTACAGCAAAAATTTTGAAAATAATAAGAAAAAAAATTAAATTAAAAAACCCCAAGGATTGGGTTTTCATTACGATAACCTTTTTTTTTCCCACTCTTACTTGTTTACGTTGGTGCTGAGAGCAACATGGTGCTTTTATTTCCCCTCCCTGCAGGAGGCCCCAGATGGTATAGCTCTTTTCAGCTCCACCTTCCCCTTTCACTCGATGGCATCATTTCCCTTGTCAGGCTTCTGGCAAATTATCACTAGTGGTCTCTTGATTCTTGAGTTTCCCATGATCCCCTTCCTCTGTCTCTACCTCTCACAACTCAAATCCATCCCAAACCAGAATAAAAACTCAGTCCTGTGTGACTGGGAACCTGCCGATCTCCCCAACTCCTCCCCTGCCCTGTCCCATCAGTCGTACTCAGTTCTCCAAACTCCTTACAGCCTCAGGACCTTGACACCTGCTGTTCTGGCTGCTGGGCATGCCCTCTTTTACCCCTACTCCTTCTCCTAGGTAGCTTCAATCCACCCATCTTTATCTGTTCCTTGGAACATCACTTCCTCAAGGAGGTTTTTCAACCCCAATAAAGTTCTTCAAAAAAAATTTTTAAGTCCTACAAGGGATAGCTCATATCTAAGACAAAAATTACATAAATAATTTTCAGTGGTCCAGTGGTAGTTCAGCAGTTACATAACTAGATGCTTACTGGAAAGGCCCTGGGATCACATCCTGAGACCTCCCGGAGTATGCTGGGTGTACCCATGTGTCCATGATCCAGGCCAGTGGAGATTGGGAATCTACGACAGCATTAAGACCCTGTTGCAATATAGATAAGTAGATGATAGATATAGATAGAAGATTGGTAGATAGATCTAGATAGATGATAGAGATAGATAGATTGATAGATATAGATGATAGAGATAGAGATAGGGATAGATAGAGATAGATAGATAGGTAGATGATAGATAGATAGATAGACAGAAAGATAGATAGATAGATAAATAGATATAGATAGGTAGATGATAGATGATAGATAGATAGATAGAGATAGAGATAGATGATAGATATAGATAGATCATAGATATAGATAGGTAGATGATAGAGATAGATAGATAGATAGATAGATAGATAGATAGATAGATATGATGGATTGATTGATTGATAGGTATAGATAAATAATAGATAGATGATCAACAGATAGATAGATGACAGATAGATGATAGAGGTAGATGAGAGAGATAGATGATAGACATAGATGATAGAGATAGGTAGATGATAGAGATAGGTGATAGATAGACATAGATGATAGATGATTGATATAGATAGATAGATAGATAGATAGATAGATAGATAGATAGATAGATAGATGATAGATATAGATGATAGATACATGGTAGATGATTGATATAGATAGATGGTAAATATAAATAGATGATTAATAGATATAGATAGATGACAGATGGATACATAGTTGACAGATACAGGTAGATGATAGATATAGATGGTAGATAGAGGTAGATAGAGGTCTCCCTTCCGTAGTCACCACATCCAAAATTGTGGGGTGGGGGAAGAAGAGCATTGGCATTGGCCAAGGGAGATGACTCTAGGAAGCAGCCCAGGAAAACTCTCCTGGTTTTCCCATAGCTTGAAAACTAGGAGCTCCTATATGGACCCCTGGGAGAGGCAGCGCTTTCACAAGCATCACCAGGCACATGAGGTGGGACCATGAACCACCAGTAGACAAGACACCCCATCCAGAGCCAGCTGCTCTCCCACACCACAGCTGCAACATCCCACTAGCTGCCCTTACACCAAAGACCCAGACGCCATCTTGGGAAGGGCAATGTGTAGGAACATTTGAGAGAGTTGCTCCTCACACACTACACAATGACTTGCTCAAATAAGACTACATGGGTGACCAACAGGGGTGGGGGAGGGCGAGGGGAGGTTGCAGGGATCAGCCCTATAGCCTAGTGGTTAAAGGGAGTGAGATTCTACATGGCTGACCACAATTCAAGTCTAGGCTCCAATGACTTGAAAAATACACCAGGCATGTGTGCCCCAGGATGGAAAAATGGAAGAGAAGAGGTTGCAGCATGACCACTCCTTAAGGAGGGGTGCTTTCTCCCTTTCTCCTTTTCTCTCTCTGTCTCTTTCTGGTGAGCTCAGTCACCCTCTAGCAATTAAAAAGAGAGAGAAAAGACTGGAGAGAGAGAAAAGAAATGGAGACACTGAGATCACTACAAACGGACCATGTTTTTCTTCCTCTCTCCAGCAGGAGCTTAACGTAGAAGATGGGACTATTTAATGAAACACAAATAAACCAGTTTGGTTTTTCTAGTTGAGAAATTTGAGTAAATTCCATCCCAATTTTAATGTATTGCCATTTATGACCCTCTTACCACATCCAGGTGGTTAATAAAGTTGCCTCTTTGAATGTAAGCTTCACAACATTCTTGTGGGTGAGGAACCATTGTTCTCTGTCTATTATAGATGAGGAACACTGAAGACCAGAGAGCTTATGTGACTCGCCTAAGGTCACACAGCAATTCTGAGGTCCAGTGGAAAGCATCTGGAGCAGGAACCAGGAGACCCGCATGTTAGATAGACCCTTTTCTGTCACTTATTAGGCCCTATTGAGCGTCCAGATGAGGCTCAGCGTCCTAAGACATAAGAACTGTTCTCCCATATTCTTCCACTTCCTGTCAAAAGCCAGGGTTTTTTTTTTTTTATGACTGAATAGCATTCCATAGAGTATATGTGCCACAGTTTTTCTATCCATTCATCTGTTCATGGGCATTTGAGTTGGTTCCATGACTTAGCAATTGTGAATAGTGCTGCAATAAACATCGATGTGCAAGCACTTTTCTGATTAAGTATTCTTCTGTCCCTTGGGTAGATACCTGAAACTGATTGACTCAAGGATATAAAAACACAGAATATAGATGTAAATACCAGATATAGTGTGTGTGTGTGAAAGAGGAGGGTCTGAGAAAGGTCACGTAGAAGAAAAATAGAGAGGCAAAGCATTAATGGGACAAAGAAATGTGGTATTACCTGTTGAAGATATTTTATAGTTTTATCAATTGGACTAGGGAGAAATGTTCATGTGCTAAAGTATTCATTTTGTAAGCTAAATAATGTGATTGAATGTATAAAAGAAAATGAAATTTTAAAAAGGTGAAAAAAATCTTAAAAAAAAAAAAGAACCGTTCTCCCTAGGAAATCAAGCATGTGGGTTCTCTTCAGCCAACTTACCACTTGTTTTCGTCAACGTGGGTACCGTGTGCATCGCCTGGCCGAATATACCACAGCACCCTGTGAAGAAAGGTGGGGAAAATACCATGAACCGCCCCAATAACCCTGAGGGCTTACCCTGCAAAATTACTCCTGGTTTGGCTTCACAGAAACGGGTTTAATGATGTTCAATGAAAAAGCAAAGTAAGTGGCAAACATACATTATTTCTCATAGTTTCACAGCACCCATTCCTTGTTTTCTGCACTTTTTGTTTTTCATTTTGTTGGGGTTTTATCTTCCTTTTCTCTTCCATTATACAAACAGTTCCAGCTGATTTTCAAGGATTAATTCATGCATTCTTAAAAGGTGTGAGGTCTTCCTCAAGGGCACCAAACTTGGTTCTTCCCCAAAGATGAGAAATCTTACCCTTTCATGTATAAGACACATATGAATAGAGATAGAGGGGACCAGCAGTTGGAGTAATGGCTACATCGCTGGACTCCCATGTAGTCGACCACAGTTTGAGTCCTGGACCCAGTGCCTTAAACTCACGCCAGGCACATGTGTGTGTGTGCCCAAGATCCCAGAGGAGAATGGAGGAGAAGGGATTGCAGCGTGGCCATCCCCCCTGGAGGTGATTTCTCACTTCCTGTCTCTCTGTCTCTCTCTTTCTGAGGAGCACACATGCCCTATAGCAAAAATCTCTCCGAGAGAGAGAGAGAGAGCGAGAGAGGACATATGTAGATAAATATATAGCTGGAGTGTGAACATTTCATGGGTCGGCAAGGTGATTCATTTTTTAAAATATTTAAAGGGCAGTACAGCCCTGTGGGTGGAGTTTCCCTCTATCACATTATCGCCTTTATCATCCCTATCCTTACCTTCATCAACCTTATCTCTTTTTTTTTTGCATTCAGTTTTTCCTCTTTTCTAGTTGTTTTATACTAGAACCACATTTATCTTTTTTTATTTTTGGAGAGGTGTTTGTTTGTTTGTTTGTTTGGTTTTTGCTATAGGGCATGTGCGCTTGCCAGAAAGACAGAGACAGAGAGATAGAAAGCGAGAACTCACCCCCACCCTGGGGCGGGGGGGATGACCATGCCATAATCCCTTCTCCATTCTCCTCTCAGGATCTTGGGCATGCATGCACATGCGCCTGGCGTGAGTTTAAGCCGCCGGGTCTGGGACTCGAACTGCAGTCAGCTACATGGGAGTTCAGCGTCATAGCCATTACACTAACTGCTGGTCCCGAACCACATTTATCTTCACAGTGTATAACATTTCTTTTTCCAGCATGATTACCATGCGTATAGTCAAAACAAAGACATGACTATCCACGTCATCATCAAATACCTTTTCCTTTTTTTTAGATTACTAGTATTATTTTTATTTTTATTCTCATATTTGAAAACATTCAATCACTATACATCGTTTGTCTTGTAAAGAGAATTTTCCTAACACGAAACATTTCTCAGACCAGTCTAGTTGAGAATACTATACATGTTATCATCAACAGGTAATAAACCATTTCTGTGACCCACAAGTGTCATGCCTCTCTATTTTTTCTCCCACCCTCCTTATCTTTTTTAAAGGAATAATTTATTTTATTTTATTTTATTTTATTTAGATTTTTAAAGAGATATTTTTGCTATAGGGCATGTGCGCTCACAGGAGAGACAGAAAGAGAGAGAAAGCAAGAAACCACCCCACAGGGTGGATAGCCATGCCACAATCCTTCCTTCTCCATAATTGTCTCAGGATCTTGGGCACACACACACACACACACCTAGTGTGAGTTTTAAGTCACTGGATCTGGATCTACTACGTGGGAGTCCAGTGACAAAACCATTATGCCGTCTGTTGGTTCCAATTTATTATTATTATTTTTTAATTTGACCAGAGAGAGAAAGGGAAAGTGAGAAAGCAAGCCACCAGGCCTGGGACTCAAACCATGATTGGCCATATGGGAGCCCAGCACCCACAGTTGGCGTCATGGCTATGTCACCACGCCAACTCCTGGAGCCCATCATTTTATCTTCATTGTCACCATCATCAGCTCCATCATTAGTTTTATCATCTTTTTCATCATCATCACCATCATCATCTTCAACCTCACTTTCACTGTCATCAGCCTCCTCTTTCATCATCATGACTATGGTTATCTTCACCACCATCCCCATCCGCATATTCAGCACCATAATTTCCATCATGCTGGTCTTTATCCTTGTTGGATAAAGATGATTTGTCATCGCCAACATCCTCTCCACCATCATCGCTATCATCAACATCAGTATTATTACAACTGTCTGCTGATTAACTTCAGGGTAGGACAAAGGGTATTGATGGTTACTATTTCTGCCTATACTCCAGAGTAACAACTCTGCATCTTCACCTTGGACGTCCATATGGAAAAGCGAAAAGTCATTCTCAGAGATGGCCACGCTGTAATCCCTTCTCCTCCATTCTCCTCTTGGGATTTGGGGCATGCACACACACGTGTCTGGCGTGACTTTCTAGCCACTGGGTCCAAGACTTGAACCGCACAGTCAGCCATGTGGGATCCAGCTCCCTCAACCTCCACACCACCAGTTCGCCCCCACCTGCTCCCTCTAGTGAACCCGGCTAGTCAACAAGCCTGCCTCCCAATATTCCACCCCTTATCCCTAATGGAAATTCTCTCCCTTGTTAAATAGTTTAGAGACAACAGAGCTTAGTGTGTAAGGAGACAGACTTTTGGGTAAAAATACTGGAGTTTGGGACCAGCAGATGGTATAGCAGTTACGTTGCTAGACTCCCATGAAATTGACCACAGTTTGAGTCCCTGACCTGGCAGCTCAAAACTCACACCAGGTGCGTGTGAGTGCATGCCCAAAATACTGAGAGAAGAATGAAGGAAAAGGGATTGTGGTATGGCCATCTTCCCTGGGGGGGGTGATTCCTTGCTTTCTGACTCTCTGTCTCTCTGGCAAGCACATGCACCCTATAGAAAAAAACTCTCTCCATGGGACCAGCAGTTGGTGTAATGACTCTGTCACTGGACTCCCACATAGTCAATCACGGTTTGAGTCCCGGACCCAGTAGCTTAAACTCACACTGGGTGCATGTGCGTGCGTGCCCAAGATCCCGAGAGGAGAATGCAGGAGAAGGGATTGTGGTGTGGCCATGCCCCCTGGGGGGTGATTTCTCACTTTCCGTCTCTCTGTCTCTCTGTCTGTCTGGCAAGCACATGCGTCCTATAGCAAAAATCAAAAAAAAAAAAAAAAAGAACTCTCTCAAAAAAAAAAAAAATCACACACAGGAAGGCTACATCTCACTGTTCGGAGTCTCAGCACAAATGTGACCCCCCTCAGAAATGTCTTTGCTGACTTTCTCCTTCAATATAACCCCTGTCACGTTCTATGACGACTTCTTCATATCACGTATCCCTGAAATTATAATTTGTTTTTTATTTGGGACACTGTAATGTAGTAATAAAGCAAATAGACTCAGAAGTCAGGCTACCTGGCTTTAAATCCTGGCTCTCCCTCTCATTGGCTGAGCAGTCTTGGACAAGGTATTCAATTTCTTTTCCCTCAGTTTTCTTCTTTGTACAAGTGGCCCAACAGTCTCCCAATATTGTAGAAATTTCATACAAATTGAATATATCCTAGGTTTTAAAACCTTACAACAGTCGGGCCAGCAGGGGGAGTGGTGGTTAAGGCACTAGACTTCTACATGGTTGACTACAGTTTGAATCCCAGACCTGGTAGCTTGAAAATCATGCCAGGCACTTGTGCATGCATGCCCAAAATCCTAACAGGAGAATGGAGGAGAAGCGATTGCAATGTGGCCATCCCCCCCAGAGGATGATTTCTCATTTTCTCTTTTCTCTCTTTCTGTCTCTGTCTCTCTCTGTCTCTGTCTCTCTATCTGGTGAGTACACATGCCCTATGAGAAAAAAAAATCTTAAAAGAAAATAATAAAAACTTGGGATCAGCAGATGGCACAGTGGTTACGTCACTGAACTCCCACATGGCCGCCCGTGGTTCAAGTCCTGGACCCTGTGGCTTGAAAGTCGCACCAAGTGCATGTACATCCCAAGAAGAGAATTGAAAAGGGATTGCAGTGTGGCCATCCTCCCGGAGCGTGATTTCTCACTTTCTCACCCTCTCCCGGTCTGTCTCTCCAATGAGCACATGCACTCTAAAGCAAAAACCTCTAAATAATAATAATAAAGAAAAGAAAACTTAGAGCTTTTTATGGCTTCTTTTCTGTCTGGACCCACCCATGAGTCTATCAGCCCCATGAGTGCAAGAACATTCTCACATACACAGTCTGTGCTCAGGATATACGTGGCAAATGAATGACTATAAAGAAAATTTGCTCTGCTGGATGGAATTCCCTGAGCTGAGAGATGAAGATCTCCCAGTGAAGGTATTTGCAGCATGTAGTCTAGAATTGTCATCTCCTAGCTGGACCACCCACAGCCCTCCCTTCTTCCTGCAGCCTGTTTCCAACCCCGACTTCCCCCAGACCCCCCTTCAGCCTCACACTCACCCCAGAAGACGAGCAAACTGAGGTCCCACATTGTGCTGTGGTTCCACAGGTCAGAGAGCAGAACCTCGTCTTTTCACCTCGGGTTTTTAATAACGGAAGATACGGGAAGACAGGAAGGCGGGGCTCAACTTGCTCAATACCAGGGCATCACACTCTTCTTATGCTGAGTTGCCGCCACTGAAGACGAACAGTGACCAACTCTGAATTTCCCCTTCCTGATAATGAAGAGAAGTTGGCCTGATTGCTGTGTTCTCTTCTCTCTCTCTTGCTCTCTCCCTCCTCCTCTCCCTCTGCCCTTCCTCCTATTCTGTCCCTGTCTCTGTTTTGTTTTTTTTTCCTAGTATAGTATTTTTTTAATTTTAAATTTTTTTTTTACATATAATCACTGTACATCTTTGCAGCATACAAAACAAATTTCCCCACCATGAATACACTGCGTAATAGTCCCGTCAGGGATATTACCAAATACATTATCATCAGCAGATAATTTTCCACTTTTGTGTCCATTAAATGTTGATTTTTTAATTATTTATTTTATTTTATTTACCATTTTTTTAAAAAAATTTCCTACAGGGCACATGCACTCACTAGAGAGAGAGAGGGAGAAAGAAAGAGAAAGCAAGCGACCAGGCCCAGGACACTAACCATAGTCAGCCTTGTGAGAGTCTAGCACCCCAAACATCTGCTGGTCCAATGTTTTGGGTTTTTTCCCCTTTGATTCCCTCTCTCCCATCCTCCCATCATTGCCCACCTTCCTCCCACACTATCTCTAGTATCCACATTGATTCAGTACCTGCCATAGGGCTCAGACGTTGGGTATATATTGAGTGGGGACATACAATGCCACTCTTCCATAGTCTGCCTTGCATCACTTAATGCTAACTCTTACATTTTCATCCATTTTCCATCAAATGCCAGGATCTCACAGGGTCTCTGTTTCCTTTTCCCACCAACATCTATTTCCTGTCTCTCATCATCTTCTTTCTTTGCAGCCAGTAAATGAGCTTCCACCCTTGCCCCAGTGAAGCAAGCACTGAACTTAAGAGTTTCTTCCTGGCCTACCCCTACCCCCACCCCATACCAAATTCTGTGCTAGACTCATTAGCAACAAAATTTATTTTCATCCCCCTGTCAAATTCATAAAGTTGGATTTATCTACATTTCCCCTGTCAAAATCATAAAGTTGGATTTATCTACAGTTCCTCAAGAGGAGATAATACTTGTCCAAGATCACCCAGACTCAAAATATAACACAGGCCTCGCTGTTTCTAAAGTTCAAATTCATCAGCAGAGTTTGTGCGTCTCAGGAAATACACTCATGGTCTTTTTGCAAAAAACATGGGAAGATGTTGTGTAATATCCTAAACTCTGAATTTGTAAGACTGGCATTAAGAGCCTTTCAATGCATCATCCATTGGCTATTCAGGACCCTCTGTTCCCCAAGCTTTAACCATTTTCTTCAGTTCTCAACTCTATATGACCACAGCAGAACTGCACTCCCACCTCTATAATTAAACATACACACAATTTCTCCCACTCCAGCTCCTTTTCTCATAAATATGGAGGTCTAGTAACATCTTAGTTAGGACCCACCAAATGCAAAGCCTAAGACTAGAACTCTAATGAAAGTAGTTCATCAGGGACGTGACCCTAAGAAAACCAGCTAGAAAAAGGAAATAAGTGAAACAAATAAGGGAAGAAATCAATCTTGGGTGTGGTACCAAACAAGTTACATAGTGAGTAAGTAGAATTTAATCTCACCAGGGACTTCTGGGAGGAGGCATAAAGCAGACTCCTCAGAGTTACCACAACCAATGGGTGAGAGAGAGAGAGTTGGGGTATTTATACACTGACTGCTACATTATGGGTTGAGGCTTGCTCCCAGAAGAGTTGATATATATGCCATGCCAGAAGAAACTTTCACACAGAGAATGCTCTGAGCATTAACTACTATGGTGATAGGAACTGAAACCACACAGATGTAGGACCAAATTCTGATCCTGCAAGGTATTTCCAAGTGACTATGAAGTGATGACTCCCCTCTCTGAACCTCAGTTTCTTATCTGGAGCATAAGGATAATGATCGGCCCTGTCCCAAAGGATCCCTAGGGAAGAAATCCTCAACACATGACCCAGCAGGCTGGTGCAGAGTAAGTGTTCAATAAACACTGTGGGCTCTTAGACATAAATTAAAAAGTAGTCCCCCTGCCATTGTCCATGATTTCAATTTCCATGGTTAACCATGGTCCAAAAATACTAGATGAAAAATTCCAGATACAAACAATCCATATGTTTTAAATTCTATTTTATTACTTACTGCTCTTAACCTCTTACTAGGTCTAACTTAAATACATATAAATTATATAATATCACACCATGAGCTCTTTTCCTCCATTCTCCTCTTGGAATTTTGGGTGCATACCCAGCATAACTTTCTCTCTTTTTTTAATTCTCTCCCTCTCTCTCTCTCTGCCTCTCTCTGGTCAAGTTAGATAATAATAATGATGATGATGAATAAAATGAAATAAAATAATTCTTTTATAAAAATAATTTGCAGGAACATAGTGCATTGTTACTAACCACTGTCACCATGGTATACAGTAGGTCTCTTGAACTTACTGCTCCTATTTAACTGAAATTCTGTCTCCTTTCCCAACCTCCCCCAAGTTAGTCCCTCCTGATCCATGTCTTCCTAAGATGCTTCTGGACATAGTACACCGAATATGGGGGAACATTCCAGATTCCCAAATACCCACCTAGGATCTCACAGAAAATATAAAGAAGAGAGGGCTGGCCGGTGGCATGGTGGTTAAGATGCTGGACTCCCACATGGCTGACCATGGTTCAAATTCCGGACCTAGTGCCTTACTTTCTCACTTTCCCTATCTGCGTCTCTCTCTGGTCAAATTAAAAATAATAATGATGATGATGAACAAAATTAAATAATTTTTAAAAAAAGAATAAAGAAGCAGATTTCACCAAACAAGAATCAGCTTTGCAGAAACCATGGATATAGCCTCTCCTCCTGTCTCCCATATCCTGGTAATAGTATCCCCAACTTCTTCACCATTAATTCCCTGTGGGGTAATGGTGCCAACTTGGAGGGACCTGCACTTTCTTCTATAACCTTTTTTTACGAATTATTTTATTTAACTTTTTAAATTTAAATTTATTTATTTACATTCATTCACTGTACATTATTACAACATACAAAATGAGATTTTCCATGCAGAATACACTGTATATTGGCTCAATCAAGCACATCAACGTACATGCAAGAATAATTTTATTTAACTTTATTTATTTATTTGTTTATTTTCATTTGACCAGAGAGGGGCAGAGCAAGAGTGAGGGGGGGGGGAAGTGAGAAAGCAAGCCACTAGGTCCAGGACTCAAACCGTGGTTGGCCATGTGGGAGTCAAGCACCTTTGACCACCATGTCACCTGCCAACCCCACTGTCTCCTATAATCTCTGTTTAGTGTATCCAGAAGCATGAACCCTAGAGGCAGACCAACCTATGTGGTCCACAAATCCATGGAGAGTCTACCCTTCTAGCTGTGAAACCGAATTCATTTTTCCTGGAGTGTGGGCTGGACTTAGTGGTTTAATTCTAACCAAAAAAGGAAGATGTATCATTGTGGGATGTCCAAGACTAGGTCGTAAGAGGCATCAAGGCGTCATCCTTGCTCTCTCTTTCCAGGATCATCTCTTTCCAGGATTCACTCAGGAAAAGCCAGTCACCATGTTCTCGGGATGCTCAAGCATCACTGTGGAGACACCTACAGAGGAAACACCGAGGCTTCCTGCCGACAGCCAGGAAGCAGATCATCCAGCCCCAGCTGAACTTTCAGATGATGCAGCCCTCCTCAACGGTTTCACTGTAACTTCATGAGAGATCCTGAGCCAGAACCACCCAGTTAAGCCACTCCCCGATTCCTGACCCTCATAAAATGTAAGTAAATAAAAATGTGTTGTGTTGGGGCCAGCAGGTGGTTAAGGGCACTAGACTCCCACATGGCAGATCACAGTTCGAGTCCCGGACTTGGCAGCTCGCTCTCTCTCTCTCTCTCTCTTCCTTCTCTCTTCCTCTCTCGCCAAATTAAAATAAATAAATAAATTATTATTTAAAATAATTCTTTTAAAAAAAAGTTTGTTGTGTTAAGGTCCACAAATGTTGGAGTCATTTGTTACACAGCAAGAGATAACTAATACACCCAGCAGCAGTTTTCTCTATTAGGAAAATGATAACAGTGTGTCTGTTTCATAAAGTTTACTATAATAAAAGCACAAAATCCTACCTGGTACAGATGAAATAGTCAAGAGTATTGTTACTGTGGTCATTATTATCCTTCTACTGTGGTAAATAGTTCATCATAAAAGAAATTGTGGTACCAGAAAAAAAAATGGAATTGAGGAAGTCAACAAGGTCGATATTGGGCAGGACCTTCCAACATGGGTGAAAGAGTTTAGAATTTATCTTCAGGGCAGTAGAAGGGGGTCCAGCTGGGAAGTCACAGAGTCAGGCTGGTATTTTTATGACACTTGTGTTGTGTAGGGTGGGTATCAGTCTGGATGGCTTCTGAGTGGCCGGACAGGGAGGAGGGAGGAATTTAGAAGGCAGAGGCAAAGGATTGTCTGGATGTCTGTAGGAAATCAGGCAGAAAGAGAAGTTGAAATTGAGAGATTAGACTATAGAATTCATTTCGGATCTAGCCCAGATCGCTCTTGGAGATGGGGATAGAAGAAGATGGTGTATGAGCTTCCTGTGGCAGCTGTAACAAATGTCCGCAAACTTGGTGACTTGAAAATGAGTTCTCATGTAATTGGTCTAGAGATCAGAACCTCAATGAGTTTTATGGGGGCTAAAAATCACGAAGTCCACAGGACCATGTTCCTTCTGGAAGTTCTAGAGGAAATGTCATTCTGGATTTTTTTTTTTTTTTTTACATGTTCCTTGGCTCACAGACCCTTCCTCCATCTTCGAAGCCAGCAATGCAGCATCTTTGGTTCTCTCTCTCTCTCCAGATTGCTATAATAAACTAACATAGACTAGATGAATTATAAGTAGAAATGTATTTATCCAGTTCTGGAAACTTCTCAGATCAAGGCGCCACAAGGTCGGTATCTCATGAGGACGTCCTGGTTTA